TAGATTTGCTTATATCAAGCTTATTTAGCAGACCAAAGACATCGAACTCTTTAATGGTTACGTCCAGTATATGTATGGGGGAATTTGTATGAACTGACGAGAAGGGTGTCTCTGGGGTATATAAAGTGCTAAAGTAGTTTGAGAATAATTGAGCTTTACCATGGTCTTTCTCCACTAATTGTGATGTATTACTGTCTCCCCATAGTACTGGAATGTTTCCTCTTTCCTTTGTCTGTTTGTTCGTATACGAATACAAGCGTTTAGGGCATTCTATACATTCCCTTAACAGTTTTTTCTTTATACAGCCTTCTAGACTTGAGGAGGGTCGATGCACAAGTATTTTGAGCTACTCAATATTGAGGTTTTTTCCCATCAGTACCCAGTATCCTAAATCTCCCGCACATTCTCCTCCTCTTGCGGAGAAGGATGCAAATCTCTTTACCGAATAAAGGTAGGAAGTCTATCAAACCCCTCGGCGTAGTCTAAGGGATGCGCGGTGCAGTAACTTAAGTACAAATTTCGAAATACATACCAAACTGTTTCAGTTGGAGACTCTGGACCGATTGTCCAATCTACTGACGATGCTGAGTGCATAATATGTTCTATATTTGCTTTCCAGATGCTAGGTTTGCATCGGGCTGATACGTGATCGTTGTTGACAACTATATAAAAGTCAAAGATTAGAACTGCATGATCACTTTTACCTAGGGACGGCATGTAATCGAGGTTCATGACGTCATCCTCATAATGGGCCAGTATAAGATCTAGTAAGGAGGATTCAGATTCCAGGTCGAACTTAGTCGCCTCTCTCACATGTTGTGCCACGGCACATGTGGTAACCTCATCAACCGTTTCCTGTCCGAATAAGTCTTCTGACATTTCAGTTCTCAGATTTTTCCAATCTACCGTGGGTGTCTTAAAGTCTCCTAGGATTAGGCATCGAATAATTTGTGACCAAGTATTGAGACCATCTGGCAAGACCTCATTTGCCTCAAAACTTTGACTGCGGTAGACCAAACCAATCAGCAGCTCTTGTCCCTTTCATTTAAAGCGGCAGCTAACTAACTCACATGTCCCACTCTCATGTGATACACTGTCGATAATGGTACATGAAATAATATTCCTAGTAAATAGAGCTAATCCCTCTCCTTTACGCTTCTGGATTCTGTCGGCTCTTACTAATGTGAAAGCTTCAAAATCAAGTTCTAAACTGTCTATGGGCTGTGTCAGCCAAGTTTCTGTGACTGAGATTACGTCCGCCTGGTAGAGTGAATCTGTACACATATTTCCAATCGCTTATTAAGCATGCTCCGGGTATTTGTGTAACAGATCTGAAGCCTACTTATATGGCTTTTTGCTGCACTCATATTGGCTTCGGCATCATTCTTTGTCGAGGGCTCATAACCCGAAAAATTACAATTTTTAGGTCCTTATTGCCGGTATATAACCTAAGTTTTAGTTCTTTTCCAGCTTTTCGTCTTTTTACACGGTCTGAGAGAGGAAAGTCCTCACGGACAAAAATTCCTGATACCTTTAGTTTATATCCATTCAGTAGTGTTGAGTCCCTTCAATGGGACTGTAAGCAGACTGGTTCGATTTTGTTTCAAGTTCATTTTGCTACCTAGTATATACACCTTTGGCAGTGTGGCACCGGAGATATCCTGAGGCACTAGCTGATTTAGTAGCTGTTTTATCAACCTAATGTCATGTTCAAAACGAGTTTTAGGTTTTGAGCATTCACTTTCCTTGATTCTATGGGATATAACTGACCTGTCACTATGATCAGTCTCCGCTTTGGGGGGGGCTAGCATTTCTTTAATAGCGTTATGTCACTTCTTGTTCTCGACCTGTACACATCTATCAACCTTCGTTGGAGGAGCAACCACAGTCACGTCAAACACATTGTGGGATTCCGGAAGATCATCGACGACTTGGGCAGTCAGGTTGCTTTTCCTGCTAAAGAAAGATCTAGGCCTGCGATTAGGTTTCTAAGGCATTTCCACCCGGCTACGATTTAAAGTACGGGGGGTAGAGGAAACCCCCTTCTTGTTTTCGTTTAGAACAGACATCTTTCAAGTCCGTCTTTCCTCATTTAACCCATGTGAGTAATTATTACTGAGCTTATGTGAGGTGAAATCACGTCAGTTTGTGTGTCAACAGAGCAAGTACTGTTCAATGTGTCTCGACATACTTCGGTAATACAGTTTTATGCAGCACCCGAGCTCCCAATTTTGGGGAAAATTCGGCACATTTTGGGGAAATTTGGGGAAATGGCACAAAAACCCCAAAATTCCACTTTAACCTTGGTCAAGATCAGTTGACTTTGGGGATTTCCCCAAAGTTGGAAGCTCGGGCACTTACCATTGAAAGGGTCACGGAACCGTGGCGTTAGCAAGCTGTTTGCGTCCGCGAGCAGCACTGCTGACAAAATCACATGCAAACACTTTTACTCGACCGCTTGAAAGCCACAAGTGTTATATTCGTGCAAAATTCATGGTATTATATTTGCACACACGGTACTACATGTCTCTTCCCGAGCTTCCAATTTTGGTGAAACTGCCGAGGTCAAATGACCTTCACCAATGTTTGAGGAACTTTAAGGTTTTTGTGCCATTTCCCCAAAATTTCCCCGAACATTGCTGAAGGTCATTTGACTTCGGGAGTTTCCCCGAAATACCCCAAACGTGGGAGCCCGGGGGTTGTTGACAATTCCTTCAGCTGCACTGTCCACGCACCAAACAGATGTTTTTGAAAAGAAATTTGAAACAATAACACCCAGAGACAAAGGTAGATGATGAACATAAAAAGTGGGAAACCATAAATATTTAGAACCAAAAATGCTAACAAATACAACAAAAAAGTACTAAAAATTGACTACGATAAACTAGTTTGAAAACGAAAACGATATTTTTAGCAAATCCTTAAACTGAAATACATTCAATTAGAATGTAAATAGTAGTCTCGTTACGTAAAAAACGATCAAAGCAGAGTATTTACCAGCGTCCCTTTTAAATAGCGCGGCGTAGTATACAGATTGTTGTAAACATTCAGTAAGTGTATAAAACAAAGTGCACCAACCAAAGAGTTAATGAAAATTGTGGAAGGACTAGTAGTGATATAAATAAGAGTATGCAATTATGACAATAATCACAGAAAGTTAAGAAACACACATATGGAGGAAAAAATAAGTGCTAAAGTGGTTGTAGATCATCAGTATGAGCGATCTATGTGGATGGTAAAACGTTATGCCATTAATTGAAACCGCATTTGATTTTGAACAAATAAACAGATCTGATCTCATACGACTGACTTTCCGTCATGAAAAGCCTTCTAGAGATAACCGATCAGTAGCAAGAAAATGTGATAACAAATTGGTAATTAGCCCCCACGCAAAAAATAGTTCTGTTAGTCTTCGACACTTCACACTAACCACATTACTGGACTCACCTAGTTGAAGGCGTTCGTCAATGCATCCAAACTAGATCATGAGTTAGTACACAATGCTACTCATCCTTCTCAACCGTTAACCAGCTTACACCAAACGCTCTTCGACATATCGGTGACCTTCCAAATGTATCTTCGAACAACCTCATTTTTGACTTTTGATTGGACTGTTTTCGTATGCTTTTAATAAAAATGTGGTACGTGTGACATATTTAATATTATCGGATATAATCCTTCTCATCATGCCTCTGGTTCCGCCACATACCAAGGAACCTTCGTTAATCAAGTGGACTAGTTTGTGTTTGTTGACTCTGAAGGAGCTCAAAAGTCAAATTCATTTCGTAACAACTGTTAACGTTTTCATCTAATATTCGACTTTGCTTTGTGTTATTTTGTTACCATTTTGCTTTACTCAGAAACACTCTGTGGTTTGTAGTGTTATACTTTTTGCACATTATTAGTGATTGTGAGTATAGTTATATCTTGAGTCGACCACAAGTCTGGTGAACCCAACGTGAGCTCCTTCTGAAATAGTAACCACATATTAGTTCACTTGATCAACAAAGATTTTCTCTGTATGTGGTGGCACCAATAGTGATGAAAAGAAATAAATCCGATAATATTATTCAGTAACATTCCTGTTCAAAACTCCAACGTAGTGTAGAAAGTCTTAAAAGGGTGATATAACACTACTATAACTTTCAATCACGGGCCATGGCCAATAAAGTAGAAGAACAGACTACTGAGATAGCGGTTCTTTTTAATGTCAGAGGTAGTGTGTGTCAGTGCAGCCAAGCAAATATGTCCGTCTTTTACAGTTGATACAAAGAAATAATAGATATTGAATATACATATGATTACATCTAAAATGTCAAGAATAAAGAAAAATGATGTCGTCATTTTATTATTACAAAAATAATTTAATATACCTGTCACTATTGATGTACTGTAAATATTCATTTTTTGTTCTATAGTGAACTTTATAAACAATCTAACGTTGTCGCTATAGTACACCGTTTGTATCAATCGTATCAGATTTCTCCCTGGAAAATTAGTAACGGTCCTCCAAAGATGTAATAGGCAAGTTATAATTTCATTGTAGCTGTAAGAATGATACATTGATAGTCACAAAAAACAATAGCGAAGTTCAGAGCTTACTAGAAACGTTCAGTAGGTTTGATGATGTCACAAGTATTCAGTGTTTGACAACGCTTCTACCAGTAACACCTTCTAATATATTTCGTTCCCACCCAGGGAAATCAAAAGACAGAGTCGAGGAGATCGGAAGAGTATATTTGGCGATGACCAATATATCGGAATTCTCTGATCTAATCTGGCTAGCGATTGCGGTTGATGTTGAGCACGGCGTTACCACACGTGATCTGGTGTGGATGCATGACCGAGCGCCTTCAGCTAGATGAGTCCACTAAAACATATGGTCAGCATCCAATGTCGAAAACTTAGAGCTATTTATTTTGGGGATTTATTTACCGCTACAGATCACTCCCCCCCCCTAGTGGGGCAGTGACGACCCTAAGACGTGGCCAGCCAGAAGTTTAAACCCAACGAGTTTGTCGTTGGTAAACACTCTTCTGATAGCTTACTAAGTGTAGCAGCGTCTGGTCGTCTTTCCTTACTATATGGGACCGAGGTACAACATAGTAACAAAAGAAAAAGTTACAACGAAAATTTCGACTCCTCGTAAACTGCATCGTTCTTTTCCAGCCGTCCTGGAAAAGAAAAAAGAAAGTGTAATTGCATGTCGAAATACACTTGTATGTGCGTAAAAACACAATGTCGGCGAAAAAATGGAAAATATACTCAAACACACGCAATATCGTTAAAAAAATGTTTTTTTATGTTTGTTTTGTTTTTTTAAATAAAAATATAAATATATAGGCATATTAAAGTTGTTTTATTCTTAAATATTATATATCGTAAAAAGAAAAATCGAGATAATATGATATGTCGAGTAGTGCCTTACGTGCAATAGTCATTTAAATGTTCTGGAAATCTTACTCTTCTTCCAGAACGCGTCGTTTTACGTTTATTTTCAGATGCATTCGGAGTCTCATCGCTAGTGTTGGTTGTCGGTTGATGAATTATGAGTGTAGGAGTCGTGTTGTGCGATTGTACTGAAGGAAAGTCGACATGAATAGGATTTCCTTCTAAATACGCTGCTTTGAGGCGATCGATGCTGATGCTATCGTTTGTTCCGTTCTTGTCGACTATATAGTACTTAGATTCACGTTGAAGAACTTTGAAGGGTCCTTCATATGCTGATTCGAATGGTCGTCGATGCGAGTCTCGATGAACGAAAACGTGTGTACTATATCGTAAGTCAGGTTGAACGAAAACATCGGTTGATTGAGGTTGAGACGCAGTGTATCCAATGTCAGCTTTCACTGCGTTGCGGATACCTAGTAAAACGAGAGGAAGAGTGTCAGTCCATTGTGAATCGTTTGCAGCTGATGATGAAGCGCTTAGTTATCGGTAGAAACGTTCTACTAACCCGTTTGCATGTGGGCGGCAGGCGGTCGTTCGGAAACGAGTGATTCCTAAAAGTTTGGTCAGACAATGGGAAAGTTCAGATTCGAACTGACTTCCGCGGTCTGTAGTGATGGTTGAAGGGCAGCCGAAGTTTTCTACCCACTGTTCGACGAAGGCGCGAGCCACTGTTTCGGCAGTGGTGTCTTTGATGGGTACTGCTTCTGACCATCGAGTCAAATGGACTACGCAGGTTAAGAGATAAGAGTGACCATTTGAATCTGGTAAGGGTCCTAGCAAATCCAGATGAACATGGTCGAAACGAGCGTTGGGAGTTTTAAATGAGCCTAAGGGACATTTATTTTATCTGATAACCTTAGATTTTCGGCTGCTTACACAGGAGTGTGCCCACTCCCTCGCGTCTTTATTCATACCAGGCCAGCAAAATCGTTCTGCTATAAGCTTCATGGTTGCACGAACACCTGGATGAGAAGGCTTGTGCAACGTATTAAGGACGCTGTCTCGATAATGTTTCGGCATGATTGGGCGATCCTAATCTGTAGATGTGTCACACAGTAAGGTTCCCTTACTCGTTCCCATCTGTTTGATGCGTAGTTTAAGGGTTGCAAACGATAACTCGTGCTGAAGATCAGTGTCTGCTTTTTGAAGCTGGGCGAATTTAAGAAGGTCGATGCCTTGGAAACTGTTCAAGGAAGTTATTCGAGACAAGGCGTCTGCGACTACATTGTGTGCTCCAGAAATGTTCTGAATTTCTGAAGTAAACTGCGAAATGTAGTCCAGTTGTCGAGACTCACTAGGTGAGTACTTGTCTGAAGGAGGGCTTAACGAGAAAGTGAGCGGTTTATGGTCCGTGAAAGGAGTGAATTCACGACCTTCGATGTAGTGTTGAAAATGCCGTACAGTACAATACATAGCGAGGAGTTCCCTACCGAATGTGCTGTACCTCGATTCGGTGTCTAGCAACCTTCTAGAGAAAAATGCCAAGGGTTGCCAGGAGTTGTTAACCCATTGTTGTAAGACTCCTCAGATTGCCGAGTCGGATGCGTCTACTGCGATACTAATGGGTGCTTCGGGGTCCTGATGTGCGAGCATTGTCGCTTTAGCAATCAGTTCCTTAACTGTGGAGAATGATTTTCGTGTGGTGTCGTCCAAATTAATGGATTTCGCATTTCCATGAAGTTGGTCGGTCAGCGGTTTCATGAGTAATGCGCATTTCGGTATGAAACGTCTATAGAAACTTACGAGGCCGTTAAACGTGCGTAATTGCTTGACGGTGGTCGGTTCTAGGTAATCCAGAATGGCCGCCACTTTGGTTCTAAGTGGTCGGATACCTTGAGCATCGATAGTGTGTCCCAGAAATTCTAATGAGTCGGTTCCAATTTGGCATTTCTGAACGTTTACAGTAATGCCATGTTTTTGTAGTCGTTCGAAAACAAGATCCAGATGCTTGAGATGTGTTTCTCTGTCCGGACTTGCGATTAGACAGTCGTCAACATACGCGTGTACGAAGTTGAGACCTCGAGAAACGTCGTCTATGAATCTTTGGAATGTTTGAGCAGCATTCCTTAGACCGAAAGGCATTCGCAAAAATTCATAAAGTCCGAAAGGAGTTATGATAGCTGTTTTCTGTATGTCGTCAGTAGCCATAGGGATTTGGTTATACGCTTTAACCAAGTCGATTTTCGAAAAGACAGTTGTACTTTTCAAAGTAGCTGTCAAATCGTGAATGTGAGGCAACGGTTATGATACCAGCACCAGTCGGGGTTATCTGTCTCTCGTGGTCTAGAGACAGATCGCTTACGTGAAATGCTTCTACGTGGGGTGCGCGATCTCTTACGGTCGGTACGAAGACTAAGATAACACGTGAGTGTGTGACATAACTCGATTATGTCATTCTGAGTCGTTTGAGGTTTTTCTTTGACTGAAAATACCTCGGTAGTAGATTTCGTAATTTCTAAAATGCGGTCGGCAGATGCAGCTAGCTCGTCTAAGGCGTTGTTCTGGAACGAGACCAGAACTGCTTGCACCTGTTGGGGAAGTTTTGACAAGAAGAGTTGTTTGAATAGACCTTCGTCGAAAGTTCTTGGGCCTATTACCTCTCTCATCCGTTGCAACATGTCCGTCGCAGAACCGTGTTGCAGGTCGATGTTATTGAAGAGTTGATCTAACCTTTGTCGATCGGTTAGGTCTCCTTGTTTAAGAATCGAGCGTTTTAAGATTTCGTAAGGATCGGAAACATCACTAGTAAACATACTAGGTGTTACGTACCTGTTGAATTAGCGCGGCAGTGCCTTGACTACTGCGAGGAATTGTGCACGTGTGTCGATTACGCCGTGCTCGGAGAAGTCGGCTTCTACGTAGCAGAACCAGGCTTCGATGTTGTCGGGCCAGAAAGGCATCAGTTGAAACGAAGGCGGGGACAAAGTCTTAAGCTTGAGTACTTTAGGTGTCTGTTCAGTCATGATGAAGTATGAAGTACGATAATGAACGAAGGGAAAATATATATACCCAAGAAAAAACACGAAAAAAACTCACAATGTTTAAAAAAATAAAAAATAAGGCAATGATATATAAAAATCCCAAAAAGGAACAGACTCACAGTTGCAATTAGGTGTACCAGATCACGTCGGTCTCACCAATGAGGATGTCACAGGTATTCAGTGTTTGAAAACGCTTCTACCAGTAACACCTTCTAATATATTTCGTTCCCACCCAAGGAAATCAAAAGACAGAGTCGAGGAGATCGGAAGAGTATATTTGGCGATGACCAATATATCGGAATTCTCTGATCTAATCTGGCTAGCGATTGCGGTTGATGTTGAGCACGGCGTTACCACACGTGATCTGGTGTGGATGCATGACCGAGCGCCTTCAGCTAGATGAGTCCACTAAAACATATGGTCAGCATCCAATGTCGAAAACTTAGAGCTATTTATTTTGGGGATTTATTTACCGCTAAAGGTTCAACCAAGCAGTCACTTTCACAATAAAAGAAGACAAGGACGTCGCCATCTCCTTTCTAGATGTCTTGTAGACGAAGAAACTGACGGTTCAATAAGAAGTTATGGTTATAGTAGAGCGAATACCCAAAACCAATGTACACGCTTTTCTAGTTTTGTCCCACTACAATATAGGAGAAACTTATTCAAGTCTTTGGCTCACAGAGCTAAAATTATATATTCTGAAGACCGTCTTAAACAGGAACCAAAACTCATTCAAGATTTTCCAAGTAAGCATGGATACTCATCAAAGTTTCTAACAAAACATATGTTTGCAACTTAACCTAAAGTAAAATAAGTGCCCATACTAAAACAGCCTATATTTTTGAAATTACATTTCAAAGGGGATATATACAGCCAGTCAATAATGAGTTCACGAAATAAGGATAAACTACCTAGTTCCTCTGCCCCTATATGTATTGGCCATTCCAACTGCTCTTGCTGAGCTAATTATAATAGGAACATAACTAGACGAATGCATCATTGTATTTCTGAATATCAATCCCCATGGTTGACCAAAGGGCAAGAAAAAGTAACAATGATCTCTATTCTAGCGCATCTAGTTGATACTGCTCATTACACAGAAAAAGCCTCAGCGTTTAAAGTTATTCACAAAATCCCACTGAATTTACCATACGGCTCCAGAAGCCAACTTTTACATACAACAGAAGCCATAGGAATACATAGAAAAAAATAACATTCTCGCACAGAAAAAGTTTATATACCCTCCAAATCTACCCAGGCCTTCGACCTAGACACTATTACATGTTTACAATTTTTCTTTCCCTCCTCTTAAAATTTTTCGAGCTCTGATTATGTTAGAATTTCATTTTATAATTACAATCTTACGTAACATGTTTAGTAATCTCATTACCTAATTCTCATAGCACCCGTTCTACTGATTACTGATCATTAATTTCACAGATAACGATCCCTCTTGAATTCGTATGCCTACTCCTATATGACTGGTTTTGATAATTAACCGAATGTAGAAACTTACCTTGGTTCTAATTTAAATTTTCCAAACGTTGTTACTAAGTGATTAATACATTTTCAATTTGACTCACCACCACCCCCACAGTATCGATTTTCCTATATATTAGTGTAGAGCCCTGGTAAATAATTAATTGTAAAGAAATATTTCTTGGCTCAACTTGTCTCTTTAATATCCCAATGCAAATCTTTGGTGAAGTGGAACATCCAATACCCATAATAAAGAAGAA